TTTCCTGGTGCAACTTTTGGTTCCTCAGTTATGGTTTACGTTTTGGGATAGTGCTCTCATTAGATGTGTGTGTGTGTTAATTACTCTGTGCATTCTGTCTGAGGCCCTCTCTTATTTAAGGAAACTACAGTATTTAGGACTAGTGGATTTTTCATATGATGGCAGCGTTTTTGTTGTCTCATCCTTTTATTCCTGTAACAGTTCTCCATGTGACCAGCAATTTAAGGCTTTGTAGGATAATCACAATCTTACTGACATTAGACTGGAGGTCTTGGAGCAAAATACAAGCAGAATAAACATTTCTGCACACATTTTGTGCTTGCTTTTTCCAGCACTGGAAAGAGGTTGATGCAGAAGTATCAGTTAACAACCCTACCCCAGCTCTTTCAGTGAGATGTGGGATACAAATATATGTTAGACTCTCTGGGGAGGTTTAGGGCAGAAGAAATCCTCTATTGGATGGGTGCAAAGATGTGAGGGGGGGAGATACTTGGTGAGCTCAAGTTTTCTGCAGAAGTGAGCTTGAGACAAAAGGAGAGCTGCGATGTGGGACAGTTGGCTGAACTGAGTTGGCTTGTTGAAGTGGAGTCTGAAAATAGCATAGCTACCAAATAGCAAAGACCTAGCCTAAAAGAGGTAAAGAGCTGTCGTATCAGATGAGAAGCAGATGTGTGTACTTGAGATGCAGATAGAAGAATTGCAATGGAAAGCCCATTGAGAACTCCTTGAAATTATAAAGAGTGAAATACTCAATAGGAAAACAGCTAATGGCAGTGAGGAAAAAATCTGAATCAAATACTGTAGGTTTTAAGTTTTTGGGGAGCATGTGCAGCCAGAAAAACCTTTGCTTCTAAAACTGTCAAATGCAATTCCGTGTCCTTCTACATACTGAAGTATGTAACTCTTCTTTATTAAAAACAAACCAACCCCTCTATAGCAATAGTGAGGCCAGCAGTAAAATTTATTTTTTGCATTATGGTAAGTCATATAAAATCTGAGTGGAATTTTGTATAGGCAGAATTAAGTTTGCTGTTGAACACTGTTGAACAGTGTTCAGGAAATTTTGTCTTTCCTGCTTTGCTAACTGTTAGAAAGTATTGTTTCTTGAAAAGTTATTATAAATGAAGCCTGACATTGTGCAGTTGACAATTAGACTTCTTCTAAAGTTGGTAGTTTGAAAGTCACATAAATAACAGTGTCCCTGTGCTGCAGCGGTGAAATTGTTTTTCAATAAAATATAGATAATTATAAGTTTAGAAAACTGCTTCAGTTTTAATGGATTCTCTGTTACAAATCAGCTTTTATTTTAATATATTAGCTTTCATTGTATAGGCCATACTAGGATACAAAACAAGGGATGAGTTTTCTTTATCCAGTTTTTCAGGTCAACCTTGGTCTGAAAATATTTGTGAGGAAACATCCTTCCTTGCCCATAGACACCTGCTGTTCTCTGAGTCACTCATCAACCATGTATTACTGTGTTCTTTAGAATACAAATTTCTGTTCAAGTGATGGCAGCATCTACAGAAAATGTTGCAGAGGAGAGATTGGTTGAATAATGTAGCAAATGTGCTACAGTGGAAAGAAAAGCAGTAAGAACAGTAAGAAGAGCAGTGGCTCTGTGTCTAAAGGTGAAAACTTCTGCTGCATAACTACATTGCCATGTATGGGCTCAGCTTTTTGTTGTTTGATTATTTTTTTTTCATGGAGCTTTTTTTTTTCTCACCATATTTAAATGTGTGTTTTTTTAAAACTTACATAATAACTCCTTTTTAACAATGTGAGAATACATTGTTAAATATATGGAAGAATATTGAAGGCCAGAAGCAATAAAAATGTTCAAGGCAGAATATATTTTTTTCCTATTTTTTAATATCTTTGCTGATCAAGCTGCTGTTCTGGTTCTTTTTGTAGGGTTGTCAGATTTTCAGACAACATAGATTTTTATTTTTTTTTTTGTAGTAAGACCTTTTCAGGAAAAAAACCATAAAAATACTAGTCTCAAAGTACATATTTAATTGTAGCATGAGCTTAAGTTCTTAGAAACACTTCATCACTATGACCCTGAATGGATGTAATGCTTAAACATGCATAATTTTAAGGCATGGATATTAAACTCATTGAAATCCATCATCCATGGCTATTAGAAGTGCTTTGTGTCTTTCAAAGAGACACTTGAAAGAAATCCTGACATTTCACATAGTTTCAAGTAGAGCAGTAAGGATGAATTTCCTGTTTAAAATGTATGACTATCTTTAGCTGGAAAACATTGAAAAACTTATATGGTTACTGTTACAAATCTGTGACTTTATTCTGTGTACTTTTACAACTTGTCCTTTAACATGCTCAGGACAAAGGCAAGGAAATTCAGAAGACTTAGGCTCGGTCCTGAGATCCTGAGACATTGACTTGCATTTATAGATTGTTAAAGGATACTTTACCTAGGGATTCTGTGATGCTATCCAGCCTTCACTGTAAAATGTGTATGCCTTCATTCTGTTTTTATGTTAAAGTTACAAAATGAGGCTTTGTACATTATATAATGATCTTGATTACATTCTGCAGAGGATATTGAACATTATTATAATCAAACTTACCGACTGAAGATCAGGAAAGGTCTGAATGTAAGAGGAAGCCAGGTTCTTATGCAGAAGGTTAAACAGCTTCAGGAATATTTGTAAAATCGTGAAGCTATAATTTATTGAAGCAATTTCTTTACTTAATCTGACAACTGATTAACAATTTTAATTGTTTGTAGAGGCACATAGGGGTTTTATTGAACATACCCAATAGTGGATTTTATTTAAGTAGCAGCTGATGGGAAAGATGAATTCCTTAGGGAAAATCAGTATAGCTATATATGGTTTATGGGTATTTATGTTTTGTATCTAAGATAGAAAATTTTATGCTAACTATTCAAGTCATATACAATTAAAAAGAACAAAACCAGACACAGCCTACAAAGATAATAGAGGGGTAGGCATATTGGGGAGAATACAGAGCAAAAAAGCGCTGTGTTGTGTATAGATCCATAATGCTGCTCGTCTTGAATGCTCTGCACAATTCTATTTGCCAAGAAAACAGACTTGGAAAAGATTCACAGAAGGGTAACAAGAAAGGTATGGAGTTGCTTTGTAGACAGAAGTAAGTCAGCAAGAATTCTAGCAATGCCTGAGGGATATTATATTCAGGATCTGTGAAGTTGTCTGCATTATAGAGATGAACAAGAATTGATTTATCTTCTGGATGGTTTGAGGCCAACTTGAGAACGTGTAATTTATACAAGCCCCACTTGTACATTGTTCCTTAAGCAAAATGCAGGATGCTTTGTCTTGGAGTGGATATTTATCTCGCTCAGGATGACTTCTCTTTTTTTCTAATAGCTTTATGTTCTAGATATTCTAATTTTTCACCATTTTAATAACAACCCAATTTTCTGCATGGGCTCATTGTGGATGAACATTGCTGATTTAGTAGACATTGAAAGAAAATCTATCACTTTGATGTTTTTTCAAGAATTTTAAGTTTTGCCTCTGTGGTGTGACTCCTGGAACAGCATTGCCTTACAGCTGGTTTAAACCTGTTCAGAGCACCACTGAAGGAATAACATCATAGTGACTATTAGGAGGAATATATGAAAAATACTATCATAATTGTAATTCCTGCTTACTTCGTGTGTGATTAAAAAAGATACACCTGTGTGTATTTTATTACTTCAAAAATATAGTAATTAAAAAGGCAAATCACGTAAACTGATTTGTAGATTGTTGATCTGTTCAGCACCAGAGTAAAGGAATGGTTAAGTATTGGTACAGAAATACAGTTCTATTTTGTACTTCTACAGTCTGCTAATTTCTGTCTTTCTCTTTGGAAGCACAAATTTTTGTAACAACATTTTTGCTAATAAAACATAATCAGTCAAATATGATTTAGGCTGCAACTACTTTTTTTTTTCCTTTTCTTTTGGGCTAAAAACCCGACAAGCATTCTGTACCTGCAGAGACATATTTGATGCTTGATCATTTTTAACTTCTTACTGTCTGGCTTTGACAACTGTACAAGATTTACATTTTCTCAGTAGTTAAAATTGTTATAGATTACTGCAGTGATCTTTTATCAAGTGGGATGGAACTGCTGGATTTGACAGTATACCCACTGTGTTTTGTTAAGTTTAATTTATACAGAGTTTAAAATGTTTGGTACAGTCTTTTAAATATTTTTTTCTAGAGAATAGTTAGTTGGATTAAGACATAATAAATAATTATAGCCATTTTCCTATGACACCTGTTATCTGAGATATGCAGATTGATCTATTGCCTCAGCCAATAATTTGTAATTTATTATCAAATTTCCCATAATCTTGAAAACCATTTAATTAATTCAAGCTTTTCCATCTTGAAATTGAAGCCTAATACAGCTGATGACATAATTAGGAAGATATTTTATGTTTATAATGATGATTTGTACAAAATAGATCTAATTAGACTGATTAAATGAAAGATCTTACTGATGCAGTTAAAGCTACATAGCAAATTATTTTATTAAAATTCACATATTGTTTAAAATAGCTGTATTTTATTGATTATGACTTTGAAGCTTTAATTTTGAAAAATCATGCATTGAAAATGTAATCAAGTTTTTCAATACCTTTGAAGTTAAAGTACAGGAAAACTATCATAACATTTAAAAACAATGTTAGAAACATTACCTATATGAGTACTGTAAGACATTTTCTATTTTACATGCTTGTAAGTAACATTTTTGAGTGGCATTTTTACTTGAGTGATGCAAATGGCCTCTGAATTACACTGTTTTATTCTGTATAATAATTTGTCCCATCATGATAACTGTAATCTTTTTCTCTCCTTTTTTGTTTTATTTTGCTGCCTGCGTTTTCTAGGAAGTAGAGGTTGGTATGCTTCTTCTGTCTTTTATGATACTGTGAGCTTTTCATGGATTCCTTACGTTTTACTAAATTTTGGTTGTTTCTCCCCCTCCAGGATGATTATTTTCGTACGTGGAGTCCGGGTAAACCATTTGATCAAGGTAAGATTCCCCTCCCAGGTGCCTGTGTGGGATAAAATTTAAGTATTTTTATTTGTGCTCCTGTTCTAGAATACTAACAGAATTCTGCTAAATTGTGTAATTTTCTCTGTCTGGAAATAATTGATTTAAAGAGGACCAGTAATTCAGTCTGATCATTGTTTTATGTCTGTGATTTTTTCAAACATTTATTGATTAGAGAAAGAGATTGGGAGCATTAGAAACCTCCAGAGTAGTTTAAAGTTTCCCTTGGAAAAACATGAGGTTTGGAAGGTTTTGTTTTATTTGTATATTTAAGTTAAGAACTTGTGTTTTTCCAGTAGGACATCTGATGAAAAACAGGCATGCAGTCTAATACTTGTCTTTTGCAGCCAAGAAAACAAATTATTAAGATTTTGAATGTCTCTTTATATCCATCGGCTAAAAGATGATATAGAAAACCAATTTTGGGAGTCTGTCATGTTCAAGTGATCCATCTTGAGGCAAAATGCAGCTGTAGCTTTGGGAATGCTGCAGTACAACAATTTTAGGCTGAGAATACTGTGAGCAAATGCAGCAAATATTCCCATTACACATTCCCTCCCCAGGCTTTGAAACTTAATATTTACTGTCAATATAATCCCCCTCATATATGTTGTTTCAAAGTGTATTGCTGCCATTTTAAAACTGTTGAGAATCTTGATACTTCTTTTAATTGCTCTGAGAAATTCTCTGAGAAAAGACTTTGTCTTTTCTGATAGAACCAGTGGCATTAATGCAATGAAGAAATGGTGCAGGGGCTTGTAAACAAGAGTCTAAGATAAAAATGTGTTGCTAAGATAGTGTTTATTAAATTTCAAGAACTTTCTCCACAATGTGTACTGACTTGTAAGGGATATTATTTTGTTGTAATACTAGAAAAATTTGTGGTTCAAGGAATTGGTTATTGTAAATACAAATTGTAAATATATATACATTTTAAAAACAGTGAGTGTCTTAAATTTAAGCCTTCTTTTCCCTAAAGGGGCCTGCATGAAAGCTGGTGAGAAGGGACTTTCTACAAGGACATGTGATAGGAAAAGAGGCAAATAGCTTTAAGCAGGAGGAAGCTGGGTTTAAATTATATACTAGGAAGAAATTCCTTACCTGTAGGATTGGGTGAGGCACTGGAACAAGTTGCCCAGAGAGACTGTGAAATTCCCATCCCTGGAGGTGTTCAAGACTAGGCTGGATGGGGCTCTGAGTAACGTGGTGTAGTGGAAGGTTCACTGCAGCAGTGAACAGGGACATTGGAACTAGATGATAGTTAAGATCCCTTCCAACCGTAACTATTACATGATTCTGTGAATAGTGTTTTTATTCATTCTTCTATACTTCAGTAATTTTGAAAGGCCTTCTTATGTTAAAGTGTTAGAGTATGTCAGAATTGCTCATGTAGAGCGATCTGTGTAATTCTGTTTTTTTTTAAATTAGAGTTTCTATATGGAAATACAAGTCCAAGTATAGAGGAGGGTAGCCCTTACAATGAAAATATAATGGTATTTGTTCCTGGGCTGCAAAATCTGTTTTAAAAGATGGAAAAGTACTATGATTTGCATTGCAATCCACCAACACCGTTTCTTAAGGCAACATATGACATTTGTTTGAAAAGAAGAACTTGTTCCCATTGAGCCCTTGTTTGCTTATATCCTTATAACATAGCAAAAACATATTTGAATGTTTTGACTGTACATTTTATGTATGTGTATACACCCCTAATTTTTTTTTATTTCTATAAATACCACAGTGTAACTTGTTAATAAACAAATATGTGGTGCATGTATTACTGTTGAAATAAACCTGTGTGTTCCATTAACATACTTAGTTACTGCTAAAAGACAGGTTTTGCTCTTTCAGTAGTTTTAGAAAAAAGCAAGTAGAATGTTGTATGTTTAGGATTATTCAAAGTTGACTACTTCAGTAGCTTTATTAACGTTTTATCAATGCTTACTCAAATTAACCTCCCCATACACACACACACACACACACACAACATTTTGACACATTTTATTCATACACCACTTTTATATCAGATGAAAATATACCAAATACTTCTGGTACATTTTATTTTTAGACTGCAGATGATACAGTTCTTGGAGGGTGTAGCTATTGAATGAAATCACATGCACAAAGATACTAGTGTAATTTTGTGAAGTGGAAAGGATGTTTTCCTTTGCTCAACAGAAGTACTGTGGAGGAAAAGTGGAGTATATTCCTGTAATTGAAAAAGTGCAGCATGACATTTCTGCAGAGGTTGAACACCCTGAAGGTATAGTTGGTTTGTAGATGTATTTATAACATTTCTTGTAGACCATTCCACTGAATTATTTTTGGCTTTTGTAGTATCAGGTTATTTTAGATGTCTGTTTACAGCAGAAATTTTGTAGATAGTGTTGTACAACAAAACCAGATTTTGAAACTGTTTCATTTATATTAGTTCAATGTCTGCATTTTTGCTCTACGTATTTCATCTACCTGGTTCTGTAATAATTTGGGTAACTAAGGATATCCAAATACATGCAAACATATCTGTATAATTTGCAAATACATTTCTGTACTGTGAACTGAAATAATTTAGAGTCAATTCAATAAAATAATTTGGTTCACTCATTTGCAAGCCCTGGGAAGTCATAAGGGAGTTTAATGAAGATCCATTAGTTGAAGATGGAAAACAGTCATGTAGAATTAACTTTGCTGCATTTGATATGTGCTCTCGTGATCTAGTTTTTATAGAACTATTGATGTTTTTTAAACTAGAAATATATGTCTATCACTTTCAAGATAAGTTGCAGTACTTTGTAACTAAAATGTATCATGTAGCACTTTAAAATGTTGTCTCAGATAAAGAAATAATGGTGTCTATGTAGGTGGACACTATGAATTTCAAAAAGACCAGAACTGGAAAGCTTTTAAAAATACTTCATGTTTATTTACTGATAAGACTAAACTATATTTAATCTGTTAAACAGTTTCCAGTTTCAGGTATTTAGGTATGTTTAGGAATCCTGCTCACTAATGAAGTACACTAAATTCTATGTTAAACAGATTCCCACTGCTTTATGATGCTTTCAGCTAGTACTTGCCTGTAAAGATCTCTTGTAGATGCCTGAGGAACACTTCCATGGTGCTTTTTCTTAATTATCTGATACTGTGTTTAAATGATTCTTTTATTATTTCTCTTTTATAAATTTATCTATTGTGGTAGCATCACAGATGTGCCTTGTCCTATACAATTCACAGACTTGGCTCCTAACTCAGATTCACTGGATAAAACACTTCTGCTTCTGTAGTTATGGCTCGAAAATTGTTTCAGTATTTATTTCTGTGAAATAATTGAATGGATTCTAAATTTTATAGCTATTTTTAAAAGAGGCTGTAGAAAGGATTTTTACTGAGGCTACACTGAGCCCATTATAAGAGATTTTGCTTGCCTTCAGTAGCAGCCTAAGCCCTTATTCCTGCTGTCCTGACATCTTTGCTTTATACCGAGATGTAAGGTCTAGAGTCACCATATTGAGGATTAATATAAGATAAAGTAAGAAGTATTTTTTTCTGTTTGTTTTTTAACGTGGCCAAATCCTGGATTCAGGTGGCTGTTCAGACCCACAAATAGTTATGTCAGAAAAGTGGAAATGTGTTGCAGGGTGACAGTGACTGTCCAGAGTACAGCACCGGAGCTTCTCAAGCTGGCAGTGTGCTGAGAAAAGGGTGTGTGGAACTGTTTCTTTGCAGTTACAAAATTTATGCTAAAAATTAATAATAATAATATAATAATAATAAATGCTAAAATTTAATCCTGCAAATTTCTCACTTTAGAAGTCCAGCTTCTCTCTACTGTGCTGGCATGTCCCAGATAAGGGTCAAGTCCATGAGTACTGTGTACCTGAAAATATTTTGCTGGGTACTAGGACTGCTTCTTCTTCACAGGCTCGTTTAAAGGCCTAATTTGCTTTTGTTTGCCACAGAAATGCAATATGAAGGCAAGTAAAGCACCTAATAGAGGTATGTATTAAGAATATGAAAATGGAAATAACATTACAGCTTAATGGTGAGGGAAAAATAGTTTAATAAAACCCTTTAAAAGAACCAAACAATAAGCAAAGACTGTGAAGAAGAAAAAAAAGCTGTACATAGTTTTACTTGAATAGAAGAATGAAAACCTGAAATGTTAGATAGAAGTTGCTTTTTTGACCTATTTAACTTCCAAATACAAAGAATGTTAAGGCAAACCTCTTACAGAATTTATGTGGAGGTTATAATTCAGTTTTTTATAATTCAGTTTTTTTACCACAAGTAGATTTCCTGGTAATTTTTGTTTGCAGATATATTTCTGATGCATTAGATACTTGATTTGAATAGTCTACTGGATTCTGGTTTAGTTGGTTTAAAAATTTAAAAGCTGAAGTTGATTACAGTAAAATGTGATTATGATTAAAATTCCCTATGTAACTTAAGAATACATAATGAGATACAGAAATTAGCGATCTCCAAGAGACAAAAATAAAATCATTAAAGTTGGGAAGGACCTCTAAGATCATAGAGTCCAACCTTTAACCCAGCATTTCCAAGCCCACCACTGAACCATATTGCTGAGCGCCACATCTACGGATCTTTTGGCTACCTCCAGGGGCAGTGGCTCAACCCCTTCCCTGGGCAGCCTCTCCCAATGCTTGGCAACCCTTTCAGGGAAAAAAAAAAAATCATACTATCCAATTTAAAACTTCTCTGGTGCAACTTGAGGCCATTTCCTTTCTGTTCTATCACTTATTAGGTGCGAGAAAAAACTGACTCTCACCTTTGAGGGAGTTGTAAAGGGTGATAAGGTCTCTCCTGAGCTTCCTTTTCTCCAGGCTAAACAACCCCAGCTCCCTCACATGTTCAGATCTGTGCCCCAGACCCTTCCCCAGTTCTGTTGCCCTTCTTTGGACATTCTCCAGCACCTCAGTGTAGAGAGGGCCCCAGAACTAAATACAGGATTTGAGGTG